ACCTGCAGGCTTCCCGGGCCGCGCCGAGCGGGAGTCTCAGCGCAGCGCCCCGGCGCCGGGCTCCTGAGATCCGGCGGCGCGGGGAGCCTCGCCATCCACGCGTCTGCCCATCTCCGGGCGGGGAGGTGGCCTAGGGGAGGGGGTGCCTGGGCGCCGGTTGGCAGGCGCTCAGGGTGCGCTCGGTCTCCCGCCCGCGATGGCTGCGGTCTCCGCGCTCCAGCGGCGCCTTTTTCTCCGGGCCCCGCCTCGCCCGGGCGCCCTCCCCGGGGCGGGGTGGGTGGTGGGGCGCGGGGTCGGCCCGGTGCGCTGCAGGGCCCCAGTGGCCGAGCTCAGGCTGCCGCCGCGGAGCCCAGCCGAGGCGCGCAGTCCCCTCGCCGCCCGCGCCCAGCCCTGCGCGCCGCCCCTGCGCGCCTCCGCCGCCATCCCCTCCCGCCCTCCCGCAGTCGGGCTCCCCACCGCCCGGGAGCCCGCAGCTCCTCCCACTGCAGCCCGGGGACGCGGAAGCGCCCTCGACCCCTGACCTCTAACCTCAGCCTCGCCTCTGTCCCGCTCGCGCGCCTGGACCCGTCGCCCCCTCCCCGCCAAGCTGGTCGCTTGGTTGCGGTTTTGCCGCGGCGGACTGGAGGCCGGGAAAGGTAGAGAGTGGGGAGAAGGTGTCGCTTAGAGGAGGCGGCTCCAGACACCATATTGGGACCTCCGGACCATCCCTCCCCCATCCTGAGCTTCAAGGCCATAACACAGCCCAGGATGTCACAGTCACCGATCCCTGAGCGATGGAATGGGGAGACAAGGCAGTTTAGGCCATAGAAGCTACTCCTTTCCTGGGTGATGGGAAACCAGACCTTGGGGGTGGGGGCTGGGGGCTCTGGTGAGGTAGTATGTGGCCCTGAAGGATCATTATGTGAAATTGCTCTTTGCTGCCTTAGGTGGGCACTAGAAGGTGCCTGCCGTGTGAGGGACCCATCCTGGTTTGGTTCCTTGTCCTTTGTCTTTGCCCAGCCCTTGAGCCTCTGCCCTCCCTCGCTTCCCTGGAGTCTTCCAGGCCTGCACTGTACATTCTCATCTTGCTAGCTCCCACCGCACAGAGCCTGCCTGGGAGAACCTATTTGCTAAGTGATTGAGAAGCTGCCATACCGAAACATTAGGCTCCAACCCGACTTTCTGGCCCAATATCAAGAGCCATTTCCAGATTTATTCGTTTCTGTTTTTAAGGTCAGAAGCACTTTTCTGTCTTGAACCCCCCCGGTTTGATTGCTTGAGGAAGCCTCCCTGTCGGTCTGGGTGATAAAAGGTGGATTGCTAAGGAAGAAATGCAAGGCCACTGAGGCGTCTGCCCTGGACACCGGAGTGGCCTCCACTTATAGATCAGGCAATGCCGGGGCACCCTGGGAAAACCAAGGCAAGAAGAGCTGGTGAAATGCCCAGTGCAAAGGCAGGGATTCTACAAAGTCAGTAAGAAGTCAGAAAACCAAAAGGACAGTGAGCTTTGGCGATCTGAACCAATATGCCACGGCGGGGTGGGGGTGCGGGGGGCCAGGGACCTTCTTGGACAGCTGTCAGAAAGACATGTTTGTAGGCACGGCCTTTGTGCCCAGTCCACACGCACGCACACACGCACCAGACTCGGTGTCTGCATTTTAGCATGTAGCTGACTGAGCTTGCTGTGGTGAAACAGGAATATCCTCCCTGTGGCGAGGCAGAGACGGCCCAGGATGGACCCGAAGCTGGAGGGAGGAAGGGAGAGCCATGGAGAGGATGTTCAAGGGCTGGCCTGTAAAGCCCGGTTTGGATGGTGTCCTGGCAAAGTCCCTGGGGTCCCTCCTGTTCTGTCCATTCTTCCAGCAGGGTGAATTCACTCCTCAAAATGGGAGAAGGGGAAAGACCACCCTAGTAGCATCCTGTTTCTGATGCATGTACTCATTCAAGCAATCCTTCTTGAGTGCCTCCAATGTACTAGAAACTATTCTAGGACCCCTCCCATAGATCTCTGCCCTCTGGGCTTACTTCCTGGGAGAGACAGGAGGAGGGAGAAAGATGCTGGTCAGCAAAGGGCTGGAGACATCAGGGAAGGTGGACTGGTGGGAGGGCCTGAGGTTCAGAGCACTGACGCCCTCCTGGAGGGGTAAGCTCAGTCTCAGAGCAGAGGCTGCCCCAGAAGGCTGCAGGTTTTGTTCTAGAGTCCTGGGCTAACTTGTTGCCTGGGCCTTTCTGGGGGAGTCAGTGCGCCACAGCCGGCCGGTGTCAAGTAGCTTGTCCCCATTAGTTCTCTGTGCGTTAGGGCAGGAGAGTCCCTGACAGCTCAGAATCCAGGCAGGAGAGCCCTGCCCAGCCTACACTGTGACAATGGCCTGTGGATAGGTGCGTGCTGCCCCCTGGTGGTATTGGGAGACTGGCTCCAGTCAGGAAGGCAAACTCCTTGCTCTGCCTGCAGCGGACTAGAACTGCCTCGCACAGGTATACGGGAGCAGTGGTCTTATGTTTCTCCCCCAAGGTGGCTGATGGATTTAAACCACCAACCTATTGACCTGCTCCTCCAGGCTGCCATCGACAGATTCCGACTCATAGCGACCCTATGTGTACAGAGTAGAACTGCTCCGGAGGGTTTCCAAGGCTGAGCCCTTTAGGGGGCACTTCACCAGCCCCACCTCTGGGTGGGTCCCAACTACGAGCCTTGTAGCCATCAGACAAGCATTTAATAATCTCTTGTACTACTCCTGGACTTATGGGCTCTGATTGCGGAGAGAAAAGGGGACCAGCAGTTAGGGTTCCTGGGTGGTGCAAACACTTAGTCTTCTTGACGACTCTCAGAAAATGGGAAGTTCCAGTCTACCCAGAGGCACGTCCAAAGAAAACAGCCTGGGGACCGTGACTTCTGAAACTCCAGCCATTGAAAGCCCGATGCAACACTGTTCTGCTCGGACACACGCGGGGTCCATTAAGATGCGTCTGACAGCAGTGGCAGCGGTTTCATGTTTAAGCCTGATGCTGACCTGGGTTGGCCCTGATTCTCCATTTCCTATGAATTTGAGGACCTCAGACATCTCCCCCAGCCTACTCTCTCATCTTACGACTCTGCTCATTCTTTGTTCCTCTAAGCGCTCTGTTGCTGACCAGCAAATCCTTGAAGCGGTCCCAGTTGGAACTTTCTAATTCCTCTATCTTCCTGTGCACATCCATCGCCTTTTCTCCACTTTCCACCTCCGGAGCCCTGGTTTCTCTTTGTGGTCTGGGAAGAGCATCTCTTTGGGAGGCTGGCCGCATGAAGGCCCGGCCTGTACAGTGAGTGGGTGACTCCCTGGGTCAAGGCATGCAAGTGACTAGGAAGACAGCACGGTCTGATCCCAGAGTGATAGATGAAGGCCATCAAGCCCTTGTAGCCATTCCGTTGCTGTGGTTAATTGCTGTCAAGTTGCCTCTAACTCTGGCAACATCACATGCAACAGGATGAGACGTTGCCCAGTGCTGCGCCACCTTCATGACCACGGGTCTGCTTGTGCCCGTTATTGCCACCCCTGTGCATTGTAAATGCTTCCAACCTAGGAGGCTTGTCTCCTAGCCCTGTGCCAGGCTACAGCCTGCTGCCAGGCAGCCGTTTTCCTTGATCAATGCTTGGGACTCGGTCACCAGGCCTTTCTTCCTTGCCTGTCCTTTCTCTGGAAGCTTCACAGAAACTAGCCTACCGGGGTTGAGCCTGCTGGTATCTGAAATACTGGTGATTCTGGCTCTAGCATCATAACAACATGCAAGCAACCATGGCCCAACAGCACAAAAACCGACAGTTAGACAGTAGTTAACTTAAAAAAAACATTCTGACACCCTGGAAACTCGATGTGTTAGAGCAGTGGTTCTCCACCTTCCTAATGTCACGGCCCTTTCGTACAGGTCCTCATGTTGTGGTGACCCCCAACCCTAACATTATTTTCGTTGCTACTTCATCACTGTCATTTTGCTACTGTGATGAATCGGGAAACCCCTGTGAAAGGGTCATTCGACCCCTAAAGGGGTCTCAACCCACAGGTTGAGGACCGCTGTGTTAGTAGAACTGCAACATGGGTTTTCCTGGGCTGTAACCCCAACAGAATCAGGTCACTGGGTCTTTCTTCTGTGAGACCGCTGGGTGGGAGCTAGTCGCTGAATGCAAACTGCTTACGCTATCCAGGGATTGGCCTTTGCTTTCTGAGCGCCGAGGCTGACCCTGCCAGGGATTGGTTTAAGCTCAGGAGTCTTCATCCAAAACCATTTCCTTCCTCCCACCCAGGTGGCGATGTTGTAAGCACTGGGCTGCTAATTGCAAGACTGGCCCCCGTTCAAACCCACCAACCACCCTTTGGGAGAGAGAAAACCGCCTGCTCCTGTACAGATTTCTTCCAGCAGAAACCCCCATATAAGGTCACTATACATTGAAAACCGCTTAATGGCAATGGGTTAGCTGGCTGGCTGACCTGTCCCATGGAGGACTTAGTGTGGGGGCTCCG